TTGTAATTCTTTGAATAATTAGTTTTCGTCAATTAATTTTTATTAATTATAATTAAATTACTGTATTGCCATCCAAAATAATCATGTATATAAAATTTGATCTCAATCAAGCGCTTTAAAATGTATTTTATTAAAGATTGAAAATTCCACCAAGATAAATAAATATATAGAGAGTGTGAGCTAATAGTACGAATGAAAAAAAAACTCAGTAAAGCTGTACGATTGCCTACCGATTAAATCGTCTCTCTCTCAAAGCGTTACTTGTCTCATGACACGGTTTCTACTTAGGAATATGATGTTTTTATTTTTTTTAACATAGCCTGTTTTCGGACACCGTTTCGGTTTATGAAGCGGTCGTTTTTATTATATCAAAATATCTGTGCTGTCTTCGGAAACCGTCTCTGATCAGGAAACTCACATCTTTATTGTGTTCACATAACTTTACCGTGCCTTCGATGCCGTCTCTGCTTACGCTGATGACATTTAATTGTGATCGTATAACTTTACCTCACCTTCAGACACCGTTTCCGCTCAAGAAGCTGACTTTTTTTTGTGTCGACATGGCTTTACCCTGTCTTCGGACTCCATCTTCGTTTAGTGTTGCCAATCCTAATAAATTCAACATCTTCTGTTTTGTATTATTGAATATCTTTTTCGATTTTGTTTATTCTCTTTGAATCTGGCATCAGAATTTTAGTTAAGTATGTTTATGGAATATTCTAATAGTAGTTACGTTTTCACTAAGAAAATAACAGTATAATATTTTATGTTTACGGAGCGTGTGCTCAAATGATTCATTCTTTCATGTAAATAGCTTCATTAATTCATAGCTGTAAATAGACTCATTTACGCTGCGTGTCGAAGAAAAAGGAATATTGAAACCAAAGAAGAATTGTTTCTCGAGTCACACAACATTTAGGAAGCTTATGTTTTTATTATATCAATATAACTAACTTGGATACTGTTTAGGATTACGAATGAATTATTGAATTATTTTGCGCTCATTTTTTTTAAAAAAAATGTGCTCGTATTATTTTTTAGTAAATAAAGTGTAAGAATTCACTACAGTAATCACTTTTAATTGAAAGAACTTAGTATCTTGTGAATTACCCTGATCACACACACACATTTATTTAAAGTTTTAAATTTTGAATTACTTTCAAATGATAATTTATTAGTTAAACAAATTTCCTTATTTGCAATAAATATCTGTTTCTCCAAAATATAGCTTTAAGAAATGTCTGGCGTAAAAATTTAAAAAATACATTTTTTTTATTTAAAGCAGCTTAAATATTTCTGAATACAAACGTGTTATTAATCCCTCTAAAATTCTTCATTTTTTCCCCTTTTTCTTATAATTTGATGTACATAACTTTACTGTTAAATTTTTAAATTAGTTAAATCTTTGAAACACTAATTAAGTAAATTAGTATAATTTTTTATACATCCAAAATTGTTTATGCTCAGTAGCAATATAGAGAAAAAAAGCCCAGTTTAAAAATTGCGCACTAAGACAAAAAATGATATACACACATTCACAAAATATTTAATATTTTACTCATATGATTCCTGGAACTTGCTAGACACAAAATATTTAAAACTTTAAAATTTTTTAGACACAAAATACTTAAAATTATATTCATATGGTTCCTAGAACTAAATAGAATACTTCAGAAATTTGTATAAGAAAAGCCCTACTACTAAATTTAAGAAATTTAACTTAAAAGAGAAAAATAGAATGTTTACACAATTGAATGAATTTATAGAACACACCCTCACCTGATGTTGAACACACTATGGGTGGTCAGGCGCCTCTCATCTCTCTGCTTCTTGCACCAACCTCACGAAAGGAGAGACAGTACCCTTCTACCGCGAAGGCACTATACATTAAGAAACATCCATGCCTTCTCCGGGATTCAAACCTAGGCCCAACGGCACAGCATTCAGCGTCACTAACCACTATACCGGATGGGGGCTAACACACATGCAAGCATTTTAATGCTATTCAGAATGACATATTTAAGTGAAAAATATTTCTCAACTTATATGGCAACAAAAACACAACATAGTATCAATATAAATGCAATGTATGAAAACATATATATATCGTCTACCTAATTATCAGACTGCATAACTCCACCGGCGTTACTGATTTAATATAGGAGTGCAACGCGCCAAAGGCTTTTTGGCGCGATTCCTTAACCCTTTTGTTTTGACTACGCCATGCCTCAGTGGTGCTCCGCTTTTAATTTATTCCTAGATCAGTATATAATCACTACATTTTTTATTTCATAATAAAACTAGATTTCGAAGGGAGAGGTGGTAGCAAGATTTTAACATAAAATAAATACAACAGAAGGTAATATTAATGTATTAAACTTCCAGATATAAATTATTTACACTATTTTAAGCGTTCATTACACAAAATTTGAACAATGTGTTACTTCTGCTGAGCGGAGAACCCGCGGCGAAAAAAACCAAAACAAAAAAACTAACACTAATATACGTTATCCCCATGGCAACCACATTATCGCACGATAAAAATATCAAAGTAAACCATTTTGTAATACTATCGCCTATCTTGGCGGACATAAACAACAACTTGGCGCCTAGCCTTACTGTATCAAATTAGCATCCCAGATGGAGTTACGCAGTCTGATAATTAGACCGATGATATATATATATATATATATATATATATATATATATATATATATATTTAGAGAGAGAGAGCAGTCAGTAACTATAATGCTAGGGAAAACGACGCTTTGAGCCTGAATTAATGCTATTAATGAGTAAGTTACTTTAATTTTAAATTAAAATTCTTTAATAAGAAATAAAATAATTTTCTTTAAACATCTTAATATACAAAATGCATATATTATGTTGATATGTTTCAAATTTATTTTAAGATATATTCTTCTATGGAATAGTTAGGGTTCTCTCTCTCTCTCTCTGAAAACACCTATTATTTCTAAGAGTTCCGTGAGTCCATTGCCATAGAACAATTCCTGACTTCTGTGCGCTATATAAGCATCAATGCAGATCAGGTGTAGCCATTCATAGTTATAGTGTTTTAGGTGGCTGATGGTGTTTAATAAAGGGATATTACACCACGTCAAAAGGGCCGAATCATTAGTGAATGGTTTAATGAACATTCTGGTGAATTTCAAGTCCTCTCTTGAACTCTGGATACATCTAACGTGAGTGCAATCGAAAATTTGTGGTTCGAACGTGCGAAACGACTTCGTGTTGCCACGCTAGTACCTCGCAGTGTGATTCGCTACCATCTCGAATCAATCACTTTCCGGGTGTAGATGGTTTTGAGGGTGTAAAGCGGCTTTCATATAAAACAGGTGGCCATAATGCAATGGCTCTTCATCGTGTGCGTTTATATAACATGGTTTATGTTATATCGATTTCTGCTTAGATCTTTTATTACGAATACGAATTATTTGCCTCTCTCATTTTATGTGTAATTAAAAAAATAAAGTAATTTTCATTAAAATTAATAAGAGCGATAATTGCTAATTTGAAAAGCCGAAAGTGCTTCAAGTTCTTAATAATCTCTAATGAAAGGAATAACCTAAACTGTAAATTTGATACATAAAACAATTCAGAAATAAAGTACTGTTTTTAGTCGCGACATTTTATCTTGAAGAAAAATTAACTATATAACTAATTAAAACCCTATAAGTTATGTTTTTTTGTTACAAGTATTTAAACGGAACATTTTAGAGATCACAATCGGCTTATTTATCCTGAAAACATTATAAGAATTAAAATTTAAATGGTTATTTCAGTCATTCTTATGCGTTATTGGAACGTTGTGAACAAATTTTAAATTGAACTTCTGACCTAAACGTTATAATTTCCACTGACTATTCTAGCGTGAGGGCTTTTATAGTTATTTTTATCCATAAAATATATTCAATCTTTTTTAAAAAAAAGTGCCCTCAAATGAATTTTGCTTTAAAAAGTGAATCAGGAAATGAAATGAACGGAGTAATTATATTACTGAAAATCATTTTTCTTTTATACTGTTTGAAAAAGAAATCATGCGACAAATTGTATTTTAGTGCCACATGCTCAAAATGCTTTCCTTTTTTTCCTAAATAGAACTGACGTTAACACTTTCAAAGCATAATGAGTAATATTATTTCTTTTTTGAATTCACCATTATAATAATCGCTTTTTTATTCTACGCATTGACACGATGCTAGCTGTTGCGTCAATCAATCTTCGTTGTCTTAAAATTCATTGGTGACAATAATGCCAATAATAAACTCCCTTTTACACGTGAACGTTCAACAACAGGCACGTTGCCCGATGTTAATAAATAGTCACCTGCATTAGAATATGCAAAACAGAAAAACATTCTGTGATTTCACCTGCCTTTATTTCTTTCGTTGAAAGCATTAAAATTTTCAGTAACACCTGCAGAAACTTTACTCATGTCTAAAGTCTAAGAAAAGGGGAAAGAAGTTACACTTATTTATTCAGGTTCACCGGATTTCTGTTCCAAATTCGTCACTGGAAGTGATAGTTACTTTTAAACAGACATAAATTCCTTATTCTAAAAATGGATGAAGAAGAAAATCAGGACCCTTCTGAAAAGAGTCCTATTTTTGCTTGCAAATTGAAGACTTTTTTTTTCAATTCCTACTACTAGTTCACATTCTCCCTACACACACACACACACACACACACACACACACACACACACACACACACACACACACACACACACATATATATATATATATATATATATATATATATATATATATCTTGTTTAAATTTTCAATCGTTAATAAAATACTTTTTATTCATCCACTCAAGTTCAAATATATTTTTTTAAACTTGTAGAGTATGACACTTGATGTTATTACATTTTTTACAAATATTAATTCATTAATTAAGTTAAAAATTGAATAATTAGTAACAAAAAAAACACTAATAGTCCAACAGCATATATAAAAAGAAAAATCGTTTGTTGTGTCCCTGTAACGCAATGGGTACGCGTTGGACTTCTAATCCAAAAGTCGTGGGGTGAAATCGCACCTGGGATGGCCTAATTTCTGAAAATGTGATTTCTTTTTACTATTTTATTGGAATAATTAAATTTAACTAATGTATAAATAGTAACAAAATTAATAGTCCAACACCATAATAGGATAAAAATAGTAGTCCAACACCAAATATAGAAGTGAAACTGAAAAAAAGCAAGGGGAATAGATTTCTATTTAGTCACTTAATATTGTGATTCTGTCATATGTATTTACAGATTTATATTAATTGTAACTATTTGATAAAATGTAACTAAAATAAAAAATTTCTTTGTTGAACTAAGTAGGAATAGACTTTATTTTTTTTATATTACATGTTTTTATTTTATTCTTGTTAAACAGTATTTTAAATGTCTTTGAATTTTGAAGCTGCTTTTATTACTAGAAATAAATAAAATAAACATTTGTTCCTATATTATAAGAATTTATGCCTTGCAAAACCATATAATCCAATCGTTTACTTGTATATTTCAATTAGTGTAGAATTATTATTTGAGGCTGTGTACGTGAAATGTAGGAATATTTGATATAACGCGGAACACATTTTCAGACAGATAAATGCCTCCCTTTTTATGAAAATTTGCATTATTGTAATTTCTACGTCTGTTTATAATACAGTAATATCCCGAACTTACTCTAAAGATGGAACGGAGTGATAACCGTGTAAGTCGTGTAATCAGAGTATAATTTCGTACATAAATTATTTTTGATTGGGGCCGGAGATGAAAGAAAGTAATAATTAAAAAAAATGTTTAAGATATCTGACTACGTTCGGAACCATTATTTTAGAAAAGCGCATAAATAGATAATTTTCATCATATTTAGTGTCACTCAGATTAGAATACATGCATAAAATTGTTTTAAGGACATTTTAACAAAAAACATTTATTTAAATATAATATTTTAGCAAAAAATTAACTTAGAATAATCTTTTTTCCAAATGTTCTCCTTTAATGAAAAATGGTTCTATTATAATAATATTTTGCCTGTATATAGTTCATATCTTTCTACAGAGGCTCAACTAGAATTTTTGAAAATTTCACATTATTTTCAGAGCTACCACCAATTGAAATAATTATTGGCGTTTTTTTTCCATAAAATTGCTCCCCTCTGTTGTCGTAAAATATGAATAAACCCACTTCTAAGTTATATATTTCAAAAATTCTAGTTGAGCCTCTGTAGAGATGTTTGAGCTATATACAGGCAAAATATTATTATAATAGAAACATTTTTCACAAACGGAGAACATTTTGTGTGTGAAAAAACATTATTCTAAGTTAATTTTTTGCCAAAATATTGTATTTCAAAAATTTTTCTTTTGTCAAAATGTCCTTAAAACAATTTTATGCATATATTCTAATCTAAGAGACACTAAATATCATGAAATTATCCATTTATGCGCTTTTGAAAAATCATGTTCCAAACGTAGTCGGATACCTTAATAAAATCTTGGATGAGACACATACACACACATATACAAAATAGCAGGTAATTTAATGTAAAGTCTAACAATGTAGTCAACCAACTCAAAGATTTTTTTTTCTCCCGGAAAATTTCCTCGTAGCATGCTAATAATTTTTATATTCTTTGTTTTGTTGAACAAATACTCTCTTATTGGAGTCTTTATTTTCTAAAATTTGTAACCCTTTTTCAATTAACCTGAGAACTTCTGTCAAATTCCCCACCGTCATTTGATCTTCTGATTGAACCGGGTCTAAAGACGTAAGTTCTTTAATGTCTTGCTCAGTTCATGTATTTCTAGAGTTCATCAATACTCAGCACCTGATTGTGGTCATCCAACAGTTCTTGAACGTTATCACTATTCACTTCTAAATTTATTTGCCTGTCAAGATCTGAAACTTCTCCAAGACATTACCAATTTTATAAGGCTCTGGCAATGATTCCTCCTGAATTTCAGTGACAAAAAAAAGTGAATCGCGACGAGATCTGAAAATCGCGTAACTCCGGGTTCGTGTAAGTCGAGGTATTACTGTATACTCTTTTAAAATTTCAAAAATATTCCGTTTTAATACTTATTTTTTCCATTTTAGCACAGAAAGGTAAAGCTCATTTATAATTGTGAAAAAATATGAAACATATTTTAGACCAGAAAAAAATGAGTAGTACGATGAAATAAGCTGCTCCCTATTGTCAAAATGTAACATCGATGTTTAAGTTCTCTTATATGTGAAAAATTTTCCAAATTCGACTGCTATTGTTTAACATTAAGCAAAGACAGTCTTAAGTTAAGGTAATTGCGGTGTTATTCTTTGCATTTTTCTAATGTGGAAGAAAAATAAATAATAGTTTAAGTTAGGGTACTTGCGGTGTTATTCTTTACATTTTTCTAATGTGGAAGAAAAATAAATAATAGTTTAAGTTAAGGTAATTGCGGTATTATTCTTTGCGTTTTTCAAATGTTAAAGAAAAATAAATAATAGTTACCGATTAGGAAAACAACTACAATGAAAATCGTTTAACACGAAACAGAGGGTAGACTGAAATATTTTTTCGTGTTAAAGGATATTGCATAGAAGAAACATATATTCAGCAAAATTAAGTTTATTAGAGTACATTTTATTTACATCGATGTGTATATTGAACGTATTTAATAAAAGTCAATGAAACAAAAATATTCACAAGAACTTAATGAAATTTAATTCAAAATTTTCAAGTTTTTTGAAAATAAACATTTGTTGGGTTTTTGAAAAATGATCTGATATTTTTCTTTGCATTTTCTTTTTTAGCATCAAATTGTCAACAAATTGTTTGACGTCACCCATTTTCATATTTATTTCACCATTGGAGTGTGAGTCCAAATAATTGCGTATACTTTTCATGATGTTCCTCATTTCGGATGACGTGGAAGAAGGTGCTTCATTATTCATTTCATTTCCATCGCCAGAATCTGTATCAATGATAGTTTTTGAGCTTTGAACAAATTTCAAAATGTCTTTGCCTGTCATAATTGGAACTGTACACACATTATCATCATTTACTGCAAGGAATTCTTCCGATGATACACTAGGACAATTAAAAAAAACAAAACAGAAACGTTCTCAAATATTTCATTAAATGTCTGGTGTTTTCCGTATTTTGTTCATTCCCAAATGGGAAAATCTCTTCGTGTTAAGCGATTTACGTTTCATGTTAAGAGAAAGAATACATAGTATTTGTCGGAACCGTTGTATCATTTCGTGTTAACCGACATTTCATCTTAAAAGTTTTCTAGCTAAACGTATTCCCCAGTATATTAATTTCCAAGAGCCTGTTCAGTAAGATTATTTTAAGTAAAAAATATTATTGCAATATAAATGTATGTGTTCACAATCTTTGCAAAGGCCTTTTATGAATAACATCAGAAACAGGTGTCAAATTTCAATTTTTTAACTTCAAAACCATTTTTCATACATATTTAAGTTAACAGAAACAATGTTAACAATATAAAATTTGTTTTTAATCTAATTGTTTCAAGATGATTTGGTGAAAATGTATAGAAATTGTAGACCTGAGAATAAAACATACTAAAACCAATGCCTGGATTATGAATAGGGGTAAAAAAGTTTTAAGTATTCACAAGTTTTCAGAGAGCCATGCACACACTTATAGATAAACGTAATTAAATTTATGTTTCGTGTATATCAATAATTTTTAGTGTCTTAGCAACCTAAAAAAACAAATAACCAAATGTTCAAAATTCATTAAATCCTCACTATCATTACCATCATATAAAGTGAAGAAAGACATTTTTGAATCAATAAATCGATATTTTATTGGTTTCAGTTGCTTTTAAAGGATAAACCAACAAACACATATACAAATTTTTCGTTTCAAAATCAATTTTATAGTTTTTTCAATAGTTCTTAATGCATTTGGTGTTGGTAAATTTGGATTTCTCTTGGCTACGGAAATACGAAGAATATAGGTATATATTCTGGATTATTTGAAATAAAATGCTAAGGAGTTTATATCAATAAATATGAATATGTATACAACACATGATTATTTTTTGATTGCAAATTTCAGATTGAATTCACGGCACATGCAAATTAAATAGTGCAAAATCTTCGGCTTTTTAACATTTTGAAAAGATACATTCTGTGTATTTAGCTAAAAATATTGAAAATAATTGTTTATTTGCAAACTAAAAACTGGACCAAAAGGTTTCTTAAATACGATAGGTAATACAGTTGGGCTTCAACAGTATGGGATATTTTACCCGTGACAATGCTAGTAAAAAAAAAGCTTTTCTTGTTTGAAAATCATGGTAGGAGTTGATGTATCAAACTGGCAATATGAAGATAATGAATTCAAATGGATCTTCAAATTTCTTCTTATTTTAGGAATACCATGTCCAAGAAAAAATGTTTCAAACATAGTTAAAAAGATTCAAAAAATACAATGCAATATTTATAACGTTGCCTCAATTTATATCATCATTGTTCACTTATACCATCTTATTGTCAACGATTTTGCCAGAGAATATGCAACCGGGAATTTACAATTTTTGTTTTCTGTGATGTTGCGAATGTATCTGGTGATAAAAGGAAAGAATATTATGAAAGTTTTTTATTTCTTGCAAAAGGTACACTCTAAATATGTAACATGCCCTCATAAATCATGGAAGAAATGGATAATTTGTTGCTCTATAATAAGTTATGTTACCTTCATTTTATCTGTAGTGTCTGCAGTATGGGCCACAGATAAAGAAATACAAGTTAAATATTACGTCTTTAGTTACAACGTTCCTTCGATTTATACAGGTTATTGTATTTTCTTTCATTTTGTATTGCAGTCGATAATAACCTGTCATTTTTTGGTTGGGGAGGATTTAGCTGTTATATTAATTTGTTTCATTTATCATAATTTAGGATGTATGATTTCCGATTGCAAACATCATTTAACTATTTGTTATCGTGATGCCAAATTAACAGCAAAAAGTATTCATAATTTGGCAACAGAACTAAAACAATTATCAATAACTGCTGAGAAGATAGAAAAAA